CACGCGCACGGCCCTGGAGCTGCATCTGGCCACGCCAGGAGCAGCAGTAGTAGCAGTAGCGGCAGCAGTGGGAGTAGAAAAGGCAGTAGCAGTAGTAGCAGCAGTAGCAGTGCTGGGCAATGCTCACCAGTGGTCGGCGCGGCAGGCGCAAGACGGTGGCGACAGCGGGGCCGCTACAACTGCAGGGCTGGGCCGGGCCGTAGCAGGGAGCTCCGCGGCAGCTGCTGCAGGGCGAGGCCGGGCCGCGACGGCAGCTGCTCCAGGTGCCAGGGGCGGCTGCTGCAGTGGCGGCGGCTCCAGGGGCCAGGGGCGGCTGCTGCAGCTGTGGTTGCTCCAGGGGCCAGGGGCAGCTGCTGCAGGTGCGGGCTGCTCCAGGGGCGGCTGCTGCAGGTACGTGCTGCTCCAGAGGGGGCCGCTGCAGTGGCAGGCGGCTCCAGGGGCGGCTGCTGCAGTGGCGAGCGGCTCCAGGGGCTGCTGCTGCAGTGGCGGGCGGCTCCAGGGGCTGCTACTGCAGTGGCGGGCGGCTCCAGGGGCTGCTGCTGCAGTGGCGGCTGCTCCAGGGGCTGCTGCTGCAGTGGCGGCTGCTCCAGGGGCGAGAGGCGGATTAGGTCAGGGCGACGCGGCGAGAAGGGCGACGCGGCGGGCAGGTGGCGACGCGGCGGGCAGGTGGCGACGCGGCGGGCAGGTGGCGACGCCGCGGGCAGGGCGACGCGGCGGGCAGGTGGCGACGCCGCGGGCAGGTCGACGCGGCGGGCAGGTGGCGACGCCGCGGGCAGGGCGACGCGGCGGGCAGGGGACGACGCCGCGGGCAGGCGACGACGTCGCGGGCAGGCGACGACGCCGCGGGCAGGCGACGACGCCGCGGGCAGGCGACGACGCCGCGAGCAGGCGACGACGCCGCGGGCAGGCGCCGATGTCGCGGGCAGGCGACGACGCCGCGGGCAGGCGACGACGTCGCGGGCAGGCGACGACGCCGCGGGCAGGCGACGGCGCCGCGGGCAGGCGACGACGCCGCGGACAGGGGCTACGTCGCGGGCAGGCGACGACGCCGCGGGGAGGCGGTGACGCCACGGGCAGGGCGACGCGGCGGGCGGCGAGAGCCTGCAGGGGCGGCGTGCGGTCGTGCAGAGGCTGCGCACTGGCCTGACGGACCTGCAGGGGCAGCTCGAGAGTGCACGAAAGCGCACGAGGACGTACGAGGGCGCACGAGGGCGCACGAGGGCGCACGAAGGCGCACTAGCAGAGAAAGGCGCACGAGGGCGCACGAGGGCGCACGAGGGCGCACGAGGGCGCACGAGGGCGCACGAGGGCGCACGAGGGCGCACGTAAGGTAGAGCGCACAAGGGCGCAGAGGGGGAGGCGCTAACGCAGCACTCCGACAGTAGGGCGCACTAAGGCGCTAGGAAGTAGTTAGTAGAGGTGGGCCCGAAAAAAAAACTTAGGTCCTAGCGAAGGACCTGCTCTGATACCATGTCAGAATAACTGAACGAGGAATGGATGAACTAGCAGGAAGGTGGGTACAAGTATGAAACCCTAAGTTTGTGTACCCTCTAAGGCTAGACCCACTATAGCCTACACAATATAAACATACAATGTTTGACAGCCTCCCCGCACCTGTCGGCAAAGATCAAAGCCAGAAAGGGGCGGACACAGATTACGGAGTCAAACACAGGCGGGTTGCTAGTGAATGACAAGGAAGCTATCCTGAAGGCGGCGCCACAATATTATAAGGAGCTGTTCGGAAGCGACAGACAGCAGGCCGTGTCTGCTTGGTCTCCTGCTCCTGGGAGGTCTCTGTCGCAGGAGTCGGCGGAGGCGGTGTGTGCAGCTTGGTCGGAGGAGGAAGTGAAAGCTGCCTTCCGTTCGATGGCGAAGGACAAGGCTCCAGGGAAAGATGGGTTGCCGAAGGAGCTGTTTGAGTTCCACTGGGATATCTTGGGCAAGCATTTCATGAAGATGGTAGACAATTTTGCGGCTACGACGACGCTGCCGACAAGTACGAAAGACGCTGTTACCATCCTGTTACACAAAAAGGGGGGGAGGGAGCAGCTTGAGAATTACAGACCCTTTTGAGCTTCACCTACAAAGTGATTGCGAGGGTGGTGGCAGACAGGATGAAAAGGGTGCTGCATGAGGTCATCTCTCCGGAGCAGTACAGTTTCTTGCCTGGAAGGAGGCGGTCGGACGCGGTGGGCTTGGTTGCGGATGTTATTGAGGCCGCGAAGAGCAAGGACCATGACTGGTATCTCCTGCTGGTCGACTTTAGGAAAGCGTTCGATTCGGTCTCGAGGACCTTCCTGTTCACGGTGCTTGATCGGATGGGTTTCCCGAGCCGTCTCGTGGATTGGGTTAGAGGCCTGCACAAGGATACACGGACCAGTCTATTAATCAACGGCTGGATGGGGGAAGCGGTTGACGTGGTGTCCGGGGTGCGGCAAGGCTGCCCCCTTGCGCCCTACCTCTTCTTGTGCGCAGTGGAACCGCTGGCCCAGCAGGCGGCTGCTAGGAAACTTGGTCTTGAAAAGGGGGAGCGGCGGCTGGCGTATTTGGGGTATGTTGACGACACGACTTTAATCCTGGAAGGTGAAGAGCAAATTGCGGAAGCAGAGCGGCTGTTAGCGGACTTCGAGGCAGAATCGGGGCTAGCAACGAACATTGGGAAGTCGTCCATCTTACCCCTGGGGTGTAACCTGAACAAACAGGCCTGCAAGACGGACGGTTTCAAGTGGGTGAAGGCGGATGAAGCAGAGAGACTCCTGGGCGTGTGGGTGACGCCGGCCGGTAGCTGCGCCCCCACCTGGGAAAAAGCTTTCGCGCGGATCAAGGATAAGCTGAGACAATGGGAGACGCAGCATCTCACTACAGGTGCTAGGGTTGCGGTAATCAACTGCTACATCTCACCTATAATCTTCTTTCAGGCGCAGGTGTACCCGCCGCCGGTGGATATTTGGGGGAGGATTTTGAAGCTGGCGCACAACTTCGTGTCAGGCAATCACGCGGTCACTGACAAGAAGTTCATACTGTGGACCCGGGACCTTCTGTAAACAGCTAGAGCTGATGGCGGTGTGGGAGTGAGAGACCCGGAAATAGAGCTCACCTGTCTTGCTGCCAGGCGCATTGGACTGTTGCTCACCGAGACGTGTGAACTGAAGCGGGACATTATGCTCGCAGCGGCGGACCTGCCGCTGGGGACTGACACCTTCGTCGCTCACGTGAAGCTTCTGAAGTGTTGGCGTGGGAAAAGTGAGAGGTGGAAGCTGGCCTGCGGGAGCTTTATGCAGTCGCCGCTGGTCGACTCGCTACCGGCTCTATCGAAGGAAGGAATTGCGGCGGAGCGAGTTGTTTTTAACCGCAACATCCTGCTCAACGGCAAGACTCCGGTGGGGGGCCAGAAGGCTGCGGCGAAGCTGTGGGAGCTCCGGCTGGGTGATCTTCTGCTACCGGATGGTGCGGGGGGTCGTGAGGTCAAGGATGTGAAAACCCTGACAAGGGAGCTGGGAGGCTCTAAGCAAGCGAAGTTGGCACTACGGGCTTGGGAAGCGGTGCCACAGCCCTGGAAGGAGAGTCTACTGTCTGCCGAGCAATTGGGGCCTCCGCCCCTACTTCCCCGCCTTCAGAAATCGGCTCTGTTCAAGGATGGGCAAGTGGCGTCGTTGAAGGAGCTGAAGGGATGTTGGTGTTAAACTGTATTATGCTTGTAGGCTGTAGTGGGGTAGCCAATATGGGGTACAACCCCAACTAGGGTTTCATATTTGTACCCAAACTCCTGTTAGTTCATCCATTCTTGCCTAGTAATTCTGAAATGGTATCAGAGCAGGAGGTCCCTAGGACCTACCGATCGTTTTTTTAGGGCCCACCACCGCTCGCATGCGGTTACCACGCTACCCCGTTCCCTAGCCTCGTAGCGCCCTCGCGCGCACCCACGTCAGCGCCCTCGCGCGCCCCTTCGTTAGCGCCCTCGCGCGCCCCTTTGCTAGCGCCCTCGCGCGCCCCTCACTAGCGCCCTCGCGCGCCTCTCACTAGCGCCCTCGCGCGCCCCTCGCCGAGCCGCCCGCTCGCAGCCCGCCCGCCCGCTCGCTGCCCGCTTCGCGGCCCGCTCGCTACGCAGCCCGCCCGCCCGCTCGCTGCCCGCTGAGCGGCCCGCCCGCTTCGCAGCCCGCTCGCTCGCTGCCCGCTTCGCGGCCCGCCCACTTCGCAGCCCGCTCGCTCGCTGCCCGCTTCGCGGCCCGCCACTTCGCAGCCCGCCCGCCCGCTCGCTGCCCGCTTCGCGGCCCGCCCGCCTCGCAGCCCGCTCGCCCCGCTGCCCGCTTCGCGGCCCGCCCACTTCGCAGCCCGCCCGCCCGCTCGCTGCCCACTTCGCGGCCCGCTCGCATCGCAGCCCGCTCGCCCCGCTGCCCGCTTCGCAGCCCGCCCGCCCGCCCGCTGCTCGCTTTGCGGCCCGCCCCCCCCCTCGCAGCGTCGCCCGCCCACCGTGCTGCCCGCCGCGCTGCCCGCTTTCCGGCCCGTCCGCCGCGCTGCCCGCTCGCAGCGTCGCCCTCCCGTCGCACTGACCGCTTGCAGCGCCGCCTGCCCGTAGCGCCAGCCTCGCCCGCTGCTCTCTATCCGTGCACAGTCGTCTTCCCCTGCTGCGGCAGCTTTCGTTACTCTGTCACACTGTCGCTATGGCTTCCATTCGCGTGCTGTCGTTCGATGCTGAGGGCCGCCCTGTGCGTTTCACCGCTTGGCTAGATGACCTGCAGCTGTTTCTCCTGAGCGATAGCAAGGAGCATGTGTCGCTCTATGACTACGCGTCTGGTGCTGCGCCTGCCCCTCCTGCCACAGCTGAGCTTAGTGTTCGTTCCCACTGGCAGACTCGTGACGCAGCTGCTCGCCTAGCCATTCGCAGTCACCTGCCGTTAGCTGAGCTAGAGCATTTTGGCGACTGCAAATCCGCTAAGGCCCTCTACGACGCTGTCGTCGCTCGCTACTCCTCGCCTGCCACAGCCGAGCTTAGCCGCCTCATGCTGCCGTACCTGTTCCCCGATCTGTCCACCTTCACTACAGTCGCCGATCTTATCACCCACCTTCGCACTAGTGATGCTCGCCTGCGTGCCGCCCTTCCCACCGAGTTCTGCGCTAAGAACCCCCCCCCACTGTACTGGACACTCCACTTCATAGTCACCCGTCTCCCTGACACCCTCCGCTCAGTTCGAGACCACTTCCTTGCTCGCTGTCCCACTGAGCTCACAGTCGCCCTCCTAGAGGAGCACCTGCTCGCGGCCGAAAAGAGCATTGTAGCTGTTGGTGCTGCTCGTGGCGCTCCTCGCACCCCCATCTTTGAGGGGTGTTCTCCCTCTCCCCTCGCTCCCTCCTACGCTGCTGCTGCTGCTGTTGACTTCCTTGGTGCTGAGTCTGTTGGCGCTGCTTCTACTCCTGGTGGGAGGCGCCGCACCGGCAAGGGCAAGGGGGGCAAGGGTGGTGGTGGTGGCGCTGGGGGGGGAGGAGGTGGGGGAGGTGGGGGGGGAGGCGGTGCTGGAGGGAGCGGTGGCGGGAGCGCTGGTGGGAGTGGGGTCGGTGGTGGAGACGGGGGCGGCGGAGGGACCAGTGGCAGTAGTGGCGGCGGCGGCGGTGGCGGCGGCGGCGGTGGTGGCGGTGGTGGCGGTGGCGGTCGGAGCGGTGGTAGTGGTGGCGGCGGAGGTCGGAGTGGAGGCACTGGCTCTGGCCAGAGCTCCCAGCAGCAGCAGCGTCCCCAGACGACCCAGCAGCTTCGTGAGTGGCTTGCTCAGCGTGGGACGTCGGGGGCCAGTGCCCGCTGTTCTTATGTCATTCGCACAGGTGACCGCAAGGGACAGACGTGTGGGAGGTTCCACACCCCGTACCGCTGCTTCTCCCGCCTTGACGACGCTTGGCGTGAGGAGATGGGTGCGGATGTTGAGCGCCCCCGCTGGGCTGAGCTCATGAGGGCTGGTGTTGATGTCTTTGCTCTTGACTATGATGCTATTATTGCTGCCATGTATGCATTGACTGTTAGTGCCGAGGGAGACTGTTACTTGTGTGTGCCGCCTGACCCAGGTATAGAGCCCGCTGCCCTGGGTACTAGTGAGTCTGCTCTCTCTGGTATGGTGCCCCCTGTACTTGCTCCCTCCAGTGCTGTCCCGACTGGTTTCGAGTCTGCTCTCTCAGGTACAGCACCCACAGAGACTGCTCTCTCAGGTACCGCACCGGCTGAGGCCTGTCACACCTTCACCCTTGACTCAGGTGCTTCCCGTTGCTTCTTTCGTGACAGTACTGAGCTCACACCGCTTCCTGCACCGGTCCCAGTCTCCTTGGCTGACCCCTCTGGGGGCCCAGTCCTTGCCCAGTCCACCACTGTCCTCCCTTGTCCGGCGGTTCCGTCTGGCTCGTTGTCGGGTTTCCACCTCCCCTCGTTCTCGACGAACCTGGTGAGCAACGCTGTCCTCCAGGATCAGTGGGTTGACACCTTTACCCCTGGCGGACAGCGTGTGGCGATCTGCACGTGCTCCAGGACTGGCCGTCACCTGGCTACGTTCACCCGTCGGCCGGGGTCGAGTCTCTACACACTGACCACTGCGTCTCCCCAGGTAGCTGCTGTCGGTCAGGTGTCTGCGTCAGGTCTGGTGGCCCACGCCTGTGAGTGTCGTTCCCTGTCGCACCAGACTCTTCTCTGGCACCACCGCCTGGGTCACCCCTCCTTGCCACGCCTTCGTGGCATGCACCGTCGCCTCCTTGTGTCCGGTCTTCCCAGGTCCCTCCCTCCCCTCCCTGCCTCGCCTGCGCCGCCTTGCCTTCCTTGCGTCGAGGGGCGGCAGCGCGCCGCTCCTCACTCCTCCTCGTTCCCCCCGACAGAGGCTCCTCTGGAGACCCTCCACCTGGACGTGTGGGGCCCAGCCCGCGTTCGTGGTCAGGGCGGTGAGCGGTACTTTCTGCTGGTTGTTGACGACTACTCGCGTTACACCACGGTCTTCCCCTTGCGCACCAAGGGTGAGGTCCCTGCTGTTCTGATCCCTTGGATCCGCACGGTTCGTCTCCAGCTCCGCCGCCGTTTCCGGACGGATCTTCCTGTCCTGCGTCTGCACTCTGACAGAGGTGGTGAGTTTTCCTCCGACCTCTTGAGGACCTTCTGTCAGGCGGAGGGCATCGAGCAGACCTTCACGCTTCCGGACTCCCCACAGCAGAATGGGGTTGCTGAGCGCCGCATTGGCCTGGTCATGGAGGTCGCTCGTACCTCCTTGGTCCACGCGGCGGCTCCCCATTTTCTGTGGCCGTTTGCTGTCCGGTACGCCGCGCATCAGCTCAACCTCTGGCCCCGTGTCTCCTTGCCGGAGACCTCGCCCACACTGCGTTGGACGGGGGAGGTTGGCGATGCGTCGCGCTTCCGGGTGTGGGGTGCTCGTGCCCTTGTCCGCGATACGTCCGCGGACAAGCTCTCCTCCCGCACGCTTCCCTGTGTCTTCCTTGGCTTTGTCCCTGACGCGCCTGGCTGGCAGTTTTACCACCCCACCTCGCGCCGGGTCTTCGCCTCTCAGGATGTCACCTTTGACGAGTCGGTCCCTTTTTACCGTCTCTTCCCCTACCGCACTGCCCCCCTCCCTCCCCCGCCGCTTTTCCTTGCTCCTGGTCCCCCTCCGGTAGACCCCCTTCCCCCTCAGGGTCCTGCTCCTTCAGGTGTCTCTCAGGTAGACCCTCCTCCCGTCGCTGAGCCTGTCGAGGTCACAGGTGACTCAGGTGCTGCTGCGGGTGGTGCTGCTGGGAGTGCTGAGCCTGGGGGTGCTGAGCCTGGGGGTGCTGGGCCTGGGGGTGCTGGGGCTGCAGGTGCTGGGACTGAGGGTGCTGGAGCTGAGGGTACTGTGCCTGAGAGTTTGCCGCCTGGGGGTGCTGAGCCTGGGGGTGCTACGACTGGGGGTGCTGAGCCTGCGGGTACTGAGCCTGCGGGTACTGAGCCTGGGGGTGCTGCTACTGAGCCTACGGAGCCTCGGGTTACTGCGTCTGGGGGTGCTCCGGTTCGGGGTGCTGAGCAGTCTCTCACACCGCAGCAGCTTCGTGACTGGTACGTCCGACGCTTTCGCCGTCCCAGTGGCTCGGCTGGAGTTGGGGGTGCTGGAGCTGCTCGTCCTGGGGGTGCTCGTACTGGGGGTACTGGAGCTGCCGGGACTGGCTGTTCTGGGAGCACTGCGACTGGAGCTGCTGGAGCTGGGGACTCTGGCGCTGGCGGTACTAGCGGAGTTGGAGCTGCTGACTCTGGGGGTGGCGCTGCTGCTGGTGCTGCGGACCCACCTGGTGGAGCTGCTGCTGGTGCTGAGGAGTCGGACGGTGGAGCTGCTGCTGGAGCTGGGGACCCGGCCGGTGGAGCTGCTGCTGGTGCTGTGGACCCGGACGCTGGAGCTCCTACTGGTGCTGAGGACCCGGCCGCTGGAGTCCCTTCTGCTTCTCGAGACGCTGCGCGGCCGCGACCGTACTTCGTACCGCTCCTTCAGCAGGTTCTTGGGCAGGCTCCTCCTCCTTGTCCTCCTCCCTCCGTAGAGTGTCCTCCGCCTGTCCAGCCGCAGTCACAGTTACCGCCTGCCTCGCCTCTCCCTGCTCCCTCTCCTTATACTGGTCCCACAGGAGGTCTTACAGAGCGTCGTGAGCCTGAGTCTCGTCCTGCGTCGCCTGTTCGTCCTGCTCGCACTGCTAGTCGTGTCCGTCGTGAGCGTCCTCCTCCTGTCCCAGGCACTCACTACATGACTCTGCGTCCCTCTACTGCTCCTCGGCGTGTCCCTCTACCGTCTCCTCCTGCGTCCTCTTTGCCTGCCGTTCCGGACCCTGAGTCTGACCGGTATCGCGCTGAGCACCCTACAGTCACGCGTCTCCTCGCTACTGTTGTCACCGACCCTACCTTTGAGTCCTCGGCTGCGTCTGCTCTGGTCGCTGAGTTGGTTGACTTTGCTGCTGCCTGTCGTCTAGACTACGCTGCTAGCCTTGTTGCTGAGTCAGAGTCTGCGTCTGTCTGTCCTCCGTCCGTCGGGGGTGAGTGTGCTCTTGGCACGGACGTCCTTGAGGACAGGCAGGAGGACTTTGACTCTCTTGCGGCTGCTGTACCTCATCTCGTGGCCTGGTTGCTTGCCCCTGAGGGAGACCCGGATGCACTAGACATCCCCACTCCGCGCACTTACGCAGAGGCGATCTCGGGTCCCTACTCCTCTCAGTGGCAGACAGCCATGGACGCAGAGATGGCATCCTGGAAGTCCACAGGCACCTACGTCGACGAGGTTCCCCCTCCTGGGGCGAACATCGTCGATGGCATGTGGATTTTCAGGGTGAAGCGGCCGCCAGGTTCTCCGCCTGTCTTCAAGGCTCGTTACGTTGCTAGAGGCTTCAGTCAGCGTCAGGGGGTCGACTTCTTCCAGACCTTCTCCCCCACCCCGAAGATGACCACTCTTCGGGTTCTGCTGCACGTTGCTGCTCAGCGTGACTACGAGCTTCACTCTCTTGACTTCAGCACAGCGTTCCTGCAGGGCAGCCTGCACGAGGAGATCTGGCTGCGCCGCCCACCTGGCTTTACTGGGTCGTTTCCCCCTGGTACCCAGTGGAGTCTCCGCCGGCCAGTCTACGGTCTCCGCCAGGCGCCACGTGAGTGGCACGACACACTGAGGACTACTCTTGCGGCTCTTGGGTTCGCGCCGTCTACTGCTGACCCGTCGCTGTTTCTGCGCACAGACACGTCGCTGCCGCCGTTCTACATTCTCGTGTACGTCGACGACTTGGTCTTTGCTACTGCTGACACTGAGGCACTCGCTCGTGTGAAGTCGGAGCTGCAGAAGAGACACACCTGCACTGACCTGGGTGAACTGCGTAGCTACCTTGGCTTGCAGATCACCCGGGACAGAGCTCGCCGCACCATCACCCTGACTCAGTCACACATGGTGCAGCAGGTCCTTCAGCGCTTCGGCTTCCAGTTCTCCTCACCACAGGCCACACCTCTGGCTACCAGCCACTCGCTCTCAGCTCCACCTTCGGACGAGTCCGTAGAGCCGAGTGGCCCGTACCCAGAGCTTGTAGGCTGCCTCATGTACCTGATGACTTGCACGCGACCTGACCTCGCGTACCCTCTTAGCATCCTTGCTCGTTACGTTGCGCCTGGGAGACACAGGCGAGAGCACTGGGAGGCTGCTAAGAGGGTGCTGCGTTACCTGTGCAGTACATCAGGCATGGGGCTGGTGCTTGGAGGACGCGACAGAGTTGTCCTCACTGGTCACTCGGACGCCTCTTGGGTGGACGACCTGGCTACGCAGCGGTCGTCACAGGGTTACACCTTCAGCCTTGGCTCAGGTTCTGTCTCGTGGCGGTCCACCCGCTCTTCCTCTGTTCTCAGCTCTAGTTGTGAGGCTGAGATCTACGCCACAGCCATGGCTGCACAGGAGTTACGCTGGCTCACCTACCTGCTGACTGACTTGGGAGAGCGGCCTAGTTCTCCTCCAGTTCTGTACGGTGACAACAAGGCGGCTCTTGCCTTGTGTCAGGAGCACAGACTGGAGCACAGGACGAAGCACATTGCTCTTCGCTACTTTCTTGCTCGAGAGCTTCAGCAGCGCGGTCAGCTTCGGCTTGTGTACGTGGACTCGAAGGCCAACACTGCTGATATCTTCACCAAGGCGCTCCCGCCTAGTGATCATCAGCGGCACTGTTCTTCTTTAGGCCTTGTGTCCACGTTTCCTCACTTGCTCACTGCTTGACATTCTTTGTACTGTACTTTATATATATCTTGTTGCTTGCTTGCTAGGTTTTGATCACTGTGTTGCTTGTCTTGTACTATATCTAGCACTGCATGTGAACTGGCCTTGTGGCCTTTACTTGTGCTCGGAGTGTGGTGACGTTGTGATCCACCCTGGGCTTTGTTTTGCTTTGCTGGACTGGTCTTGTGACCCTTTGTTCTCCCCCACTTTGCCTATGGGGGTGTGTTAAACTGTATTATGCTTGTAGGCTGTAGTGGGGTAGCCAATATGGGGTACAACCCCAACTAGGGTTTCATATTTGTACCCAAACTCCTGTTAGTTCATCCATTCTTGCCTAGTAATTCTGAAAGTTGGAAGGGCCAGAAGCGTCAATCCGCTAAGCGGGAGCTGTGGGCAGGCAGATGGTCGGGGGAAATCGACTGGAAGAAAGTTATCAAAGTTTGGGACTCGCTGGTGACACCGAACAGGCCGCGTGATGTGTTGCTTAGGATCCACAGCCTCAACCTGAAAGTAGGGGAGAGGCTCTCTTTTCTAAGTGGCAGGCCGGTCTGCCCGCACTGTGGGGAGTTTGAAACTTTGGAGCACTGCCTTTTCAGCTGCCCGCGCATTCAGCAGGTGGTGGTGGCGGTCAAGCGGTCCATGCGCATGCTAAACCCTGCGAGGCAGGTGTCGGACTTGGGGGACCTGTTGTTCGGAAAGGCAGCATCGGCCTCAGCGTTTCCTGAAGCAACCCTCTCTGCAATCGCTGTTCACCAGATCTGGGCGAAGCGTTGTGATTGTGTGTTTCGGGGGAAAAGATTCCGGTCCCGGTGGGTACTCAGGCGCATCGAGGCAGCATTTCGGCTGCATGTGAAGGTGTACACGCGAGCAATGGGAAAGAAGCTTGGCAGCGGTGGTGGTACGAAGGGACAAAGGAGAACTCATGCGCTGGCAGAGCAGGAGGACGGCTTACTTGGCCGCATTCGTTGCATGACGGTGAAAGGTTGGAAATGGTCGCACAGTTTCGGCGCGCTTTGGAGTCTGGCAAGGGGAGCTCTACATCCGCCTTAGAAGCCTCCCGTGAGGCCACCTAGGGGGTTCGGCCTCTAACGCTCAGTTACGACTGACATATATCACTTATACGCTTGTTCTCTCGGTGTATTTGGATATATTCATAATGGAAAAAAAAAAGAACCGACTGAGCTCCGACACGGAAAGCCAACGGTGCACAAGTTACCTGCGATGGAGCAGGGAACGTGAATATCGCAATACGACTCGTGATCCAATCGCAAAGCAAAGCGGCGTTGACGAAACGATTACAGAGGCTTCATTTTCGCAAACTGAACCTCGAGGTACGGTTGGATTGCGAAGTCCCTAGAAGGTGGTGTGAAAGTTGAGGCAAAATCGCCGATTTCACAAACTTCCGGATGTACTTCACACCCTGTTCTGCCATCGTGAGCCCTGCTCGACACTCGTTGACAATGCTTCGATTGCGAATGTGTAATGAACTCGTACGAGTTCACTGTACAGTACGCCGGTTGTCGCGCACATGTTCCGCACCCGAAACATTGTGGAGCGGAAGGATTCGCATGGGTTCAGAACGGTTGCGAACCAATTTGATATAACCCAGCCCACCAACCACACCAACAGTGACCGTTGGTGATCTGCTCGCGCTTTATCCGGCTGGTTGAAGAGCGACAACCGCCAGCCGCCGCCAGTCACGGCGTACGCCAGGGAAATTGATACTTGCCATCGTTGTCATGTAGAGCGAAATATGTCACGTGCCTCGAGGCGCGCTTCCCTCACGAGGTAACCGTCCCATACACGTTACCGCGAACAGCTGATGCGTTCATTGTAGTAGTGAAACCGCACTCGAGCCTGAGATAGTCGAGAGAAGGGACTTTCCACGGCTACGATTCAATCAACTGTCTTTGCTACGCACAGGTTGCTACGTCTGAGTTCAGGCGTGACACGGATGTCGCCGGCTCAAGGCCAAGGGCGCACGTCATTCGCGTTGCGGATGTTTTTTTACAATTCTCAGGTGGATTCTGAGTCGACTCAAAAGTCACCTGAAAAAACACCTGCAACGAAATGGACTCAAGGACGACAAGCGCGCGCTTCATTCGCGCCAGAACTCTCTACACGACGCTTGACACATGTCGGAGGTGATCCGTCAGCCATACGAAATCCCCACGTGCGCTGAGTCTGTCACCGTTCTCATGTCAACGCCTCTTCCGTTCCTCTCTCGTCCTCCTCCTCGCAATTCTTCTCGGCAGCCATTTTGTCGCATGCTCCTTCGCCGAACCTCGCAAACCCTTTCGCGAGCCAGTCCGTCGTCGCCTGGCAGGAAACGGCCTCAGCGATCTTCACGAGAAGCTCGGCGCGCTATGGGACATGGCCAGCCGCGTCTCGCTTAACGGAACTGTCATTATCGCGTCCTCGAATGCAGGTATGCCATAGAATGGATATCGTTTGGGTGAGTTTTAGCAAAACCCTCCAGAATCGCGCTATTTAGTGGCCCTCGTTACTACTTACAACGACATAGTGATTGTTGGATTGGAACAGGAGAGTTGTTGCCTTCCCGTTACTTGTGCACTGCATGGTGCTGTTACTTGTGCACTTGTGCACTGCATGGTGCTGTTACTTGTGCACTGCATGGTGCTGTTAGGGCGTATCCATGTTCGGGTCATGAGCACTGTTCCGGGCATCCGCAATTTGCGGATGACCCAAACAACATAAAACGCCACTTTGGGTCCTCCGAACTCATGCGACCCCCAAAGAGCCGCGGGGGTTTTCGCGCCAAAATCACGCTCCCCACAACAGTCGCATCCAATGGAAGGATGCCTAAACAGATTGAAAGATCCTTAGCGAAACCACGTGAAACCCACCGAGAAAACACAATCGTCAAAATTCCTGGCGCGAATCCCCAACTGTTGGGAGCGCGACGCGGGAAATTTTAGACACACTCATGGTCACTGGGGTCAATTTGCCGAGTGGTTGGGTGCAGAGGTGTAAGACGTGGGACATTGCCCACATGTGACACTCGACTGACGACCGTAAAAAAATGGCAGTAAATACAAAATCGTGCAACCAGGTGATTGGTTGGGGGTGGGTCGTGCACGTCAGTCGCCCAACACCTGCACATTGACCCAAAGCTGGGGCCGCGCGCGGCTCGGCAGCCCACTTCGGGTCATGCGCAAATTCCGCATGACCCAAACAGTAGCCAGAACAGTGCTCATGACCCGAAGTTGGATACGCCCTTACTTGTGCACTTGGTCACTGCATGGTGCTGTTACTTGTGCACTACATGGTGCTGCTCAACTACTATTCTTGGTAAGATCATACAGGTGGAAGATATGGGAGGAGATTTTCTGCCACTCTTTGCCTCAAGGGCTGGCACGCATGCTACGAGGAGGCCATGCTGGAGAACTGGGTGCTGCATCTCGAGGTGTTGAGTCCACTGTTAGTGACCCTGTTACCCTATTATCCCATCACTACGCCTCTGCAGGCTACGAGGACATGCTGGAGAACTGGGTGCTGCATCTGCAGGCGTTGAGTACATTGTGTTACCCTGTGTCTCGCTTTGCCTGTCTGTCATTGTGCGGGTGCCCAGGCTACGAGGACATGCTGGAGAACTGGGTGCTGCATCTGCAGCGGGTGGGGCTGGGTCGGCACTTCATAGTCTTTGCTGCCGACAGCAAGAGCCTCGAGTTCGCCCACTCCAAGTGGCCTGGCCAGGTAAGTCGTTTAGAAAGTAGTAACTGGTTACTGTTGGTTACTGTTGGTTACTGGTTGGTTGCTGGTGACTCGTAGCCAGTAACCAGTCCAAATTGCCTGGCCAGACAGCTTAAGGTTTGTATTTCTCAGCTCAGCTCAGCTCAGCTCAGCTCATGTCTTTGGGTGACGTCAAGTGCATCTGCAGTGGGTGGGGCTGGGTCGGCTCGGCACTTCATAGTCTTTGCTGTGGACAGCAAGTGCCTTGAATTCGCCGACTCGAAATGCCCTGGGCAGGTGAGTCGTTGAGAAGTGTGTTTGAGTTGTTAGTTAGAAGCCTCTAAAAAGTGGTAACTGGTTAGGTTACTGCTGGTTACATGTTGGTTGCTGGTAAATGGTTACTGGTGGTAACTAGTAAGTGTACACTCAAATTGAAGGTTCAAGGATTACTTTGCTCAGTCTAGGTTTTTGGCACACGTCAGGTCAATCTCCTTACTCGTTCACCCACCCCCCTTATAGCCTCCTCTTTCGCCCGTCTCCTGAGTGGGCAGTTTGTCATCGATGAGAAGGCAGACGTGGAGGGGGTATCATGCATCAAGTTGGCACAACTCTCCACCGCATTCCACCCCTCACGACTCCCTCAGGCCATGCATCTCGACCTGAGTGGGCAGTTCGACGTCGAGGGGAGGGCAGGCATGGAGGGGGTATCATGCATCGGGTTAAACCCCAGTTACACTCCTTCATACCCCTATACCCTCCTCTCGCCCCTCCCCATCCCCGCAGGTCATACATCTCGACTTGAGTGGGCAGTTTGGTCAAGAGGAGAGGGCGGACGTGGAGGGGGCATTGGTCATCAAATTCCCCCCCCCCCCCCCCCCCCCCCCTTCCACCAACCCATCCAACCCCTTATAACCGCCTCCCCATCTCACTCCTCCCCATGCCTGCAGGCCATTCATCTCGACCTGAGCGGGCAGTTTGGTCAAGAGGAGAGGGCGGACGTGGAGGGGGCATCGGTCATCGGGTCAGCCGCCTTTCACCGCGTGGCCTCCCACCGCACCATCTACATCCACCACCTCCTCTCCTTGGCTTCTCCTTGATCTCCCTTCCACCCTCCCCGTTCCTGCAGGCCGTTGCTCTCGACCCCCTCCCTCTCTCACAACTCCCAATCTCACACTCCCTCACAACCCCCACCCTCTCATCTCACATCCCTCAATTCCAGGCCATACACCTCGACCTGAGCGGGCAGTTTGGTCAAGAGGAGAGGGCGGACGTGGAGGGGGCATCGGTCATCGGGTCAGCAGCCTTTCACCGCGTGGCATCCCACAGGGCCATCTACATCCACCACCTCCTCTCCTTTGGCTTCTCCGTGCTCTACAGCGATATCGACATCGCCTTCCTGCACAACCCCCTCCCCTTCTTCCAAAAACCTGCCGATGCTAATAGCATCGTGTAAGCAAGGCTCTGCTGCAGCTGAGGGTTTTTTTTTTTTTTTTTTTTTTTTTTTTGCGGGGTTTGATGACGTTTTTGCAGAAAAGGAGTTTCCATTTTTCTTGCTTTAGTTGCTTGAAGAGTGTTTGTTTATTTGTTTGTTTGTTTGTTTGTTTTTTTTTTTTCTCAACTTCACATTTGCTGTTCTTCTTGTATGCTATAAGTGCATTTCGTTGCCTTGGGAAGGAGGGACTTTGAAGTTTGGTTGCATCCACAATCACCTCCTCTCGTTTGGATTCCCTGTGCGAGTTGAGGTGCCTCAAAAGTGCTTTCCAGCGACATTGACAGCGCTCTCCTCAACAACCCACCCTTCTCAACAACCCGCTCTCCTTCTTCCAAAAACCCGAGTTGACTTTTGAGGCGACTCAAAAGTCATCTGTGCGCGCTGAGGCGCCTCAAAAGTAATTTACAGCGACTCCCCCCCTCCCCCCCCCCTTCTTCCAAAAACCCGACCCTCCCCTTGCCTCCTCGTCCCTCCGAAACCCTATCAGCAGCAGCAGTGGCGGTGGCAGCAGCGACAATGGCAGTGGCTTAGATGCGCCTGCTGCCGAAACTACTACCGATTTCGACATGTTCATCACGCACGATCGCTACATGAGCCAGCCGTCGCCCTACACCGACCCCATCGACCCCAACCTCCTCAACGGCCTCCCCCTCTTCTGCAGCTGCTTCCTCTTCTTCCGCCCCACCCTCCCCGCCAAAAGCCTCGTGGGCAACTGGGCGTATCGAATGGCAAAACTAGGCCGGCAGGGAGGGCTGGACCAAGACCAGCTGAATCTAGTCATGCAGTGGATGCTTGAAAGGAAGGTGCTGCCTCGGATTGGTGTGCTGCCGCCGCTGCAGTTCCCGTCCGGGCAGCTGATGAATGAACATTGGGGGAAGTTTGAGGAGGTAAGGCCAAGAGTGATGATGGTGCATGCAAATTATTTGACTGGGAAAGTGGCGAAGATCAAGGGGTTGAAGAAGGCGGGTCTGTGGCGGGTGAAAGGGGAAGCACAGAGCAATGTGACTGCTGCTGCTGCAGCTGGTGGTGCTGCTGCTGGGGTTCCTGCTGCTACTGCTGTTGCTGCAGGTGGGAAGGGGGAAGGAGATAGTGATAAGGAGACAGGAGTAGTAGAAGGGGAGGAGGAGCAAGAGAATGAGGAGGAGGAGGAGGAGGAGGAGGAGGAGGAGGAGCCTGTGCTGCTGTTCCCAATGCCAAGACGCCCAGATGAGGCTAGAGAGGACAGCCTTGGCGAGACCCCAGGGATGCTGGAGAGGGGGAGAGAGGAGGGCAGCGCAGGGGGAAAGGAGGGCAAGGGGGGGGAGGCCCGGGTGGGGGAGGCGCTGGCAGGAGGGGGAGGGGGAGCGTCAGGGGGGAGTGGTGGGGAGGGAGGGGTGGATTGGGAGGCGGAGGTGTTGGGAGCGGTGGAGCCGTGGGTAGGGGAGCATCTGGGGGAATTGGAGGGGAAGGGGACGCGGATCAAGGGCGCTGCTGGCATGGTGATTGTTACAGTTGCCTGCGATGGTGCGTTGCTGTTTGTTAGAGAGATGATTCGCTAGATTGTGGGTGGGGGGGTATGCAGCATGCATCTATGGGTGGGGGAGCATCTGGGGGAGTTGGAGGGGAAGGGGGTGCGGATCAAAGGGGCTGCTGGCATGTTGATCGTCACTGTTGGCTGCGATGGTGCCTTGCTGTTTGTTAGAGAGGTGATTCTTGCATAGGGGGTGGGTGGCTGCATGCATGCATGGGTGGGGGAGATGCAGCATGCATGATGCAGGCAGGTGCATGATGCAGGCAGGTGCATGATGCAGGCAGGTGCATGATGCAGGCAGGTGCATGATGCAGGCCGGGACGCGTTACTCCGGTTTTGAGGCGCCTCAAAACGGGACGCGTTACTCCGGTTTTGAGGCGCCTCAAAACGGGACGCGTTACTTCACCCTTCTTGGCCGCATCACTCCCTCCCTCCTCGCTCTTACTTTTGAGTCGCCTCGAAAGTCACCCTCATGGGCCGCATCACTCCCTCCTCCCTCTTATATGGCACCTTCCTCCCTCTTATATGGCACCCTCCTCACTCCTCATCACTCCCGCAACCCTCCTCCCTCTTGTATGACACCAGCCCAGCCCACCCATCCCTTGTTGCTGCCTCACCCATCCCTTGTTGCTGCCTCACCCATCCCTTGTTGCTGCCTCACCCATCCCTTGTTGCTGCCTCACCCATCCCTTGTTGCTGCCTCACCCATCCCTTGTTGCTGCCTCACCCATCCCTTGTTGCTGCCTCACCCATCCCTTGTTGCTGCCTCACCCATCCCTTGTTGCTGCCTCACCCATCCCTTGCACCATCGCGCCCCCACCCAACCCACCAGAGGTCAGGAGGAGGCATTGATCCGCAACTGCCTCACCACGTGGGTGGGCCACGTGTTTCCCTTGTTGCACACGATGGTTTACCAGGCTCCCTTGTTGCTGCCCACCATCGCCCCCACCCTTCAGGCCAGGAGGAGGCGCCGCAACTAGTTTACCCACATGGCCGCCATCCCTTCCCTTAGTAGCCTTCCTTGGCCACCTCAGCCATGGCGATGCTGGGAAATCCTTCTTCATGCCTGATTTCCCACCATCGCCGCTCCCCCTTCCCCACAACCCCCCTCCTTTCAGGCCAGGAGGCGTTGTTCCGCAACTGGTTCACCCACATGGGCCGCATCCCTTCTCTCGGCAACATTGTGCTCGCTTCCGTGCCTCCTCAGGTGAGTGAGAGTGAGAGCGAGAGCGAGAGTGAGAGTGAGAGCGAGAGTGAGAACGAGAGTGAGAGTGAGAACGAGAGTGAGAGTGAGAGCGAGAGTGAGAGTGAGAGCGAGAATGAGAGTGAGAGCGAAAGTGAGTGAGAGCGAGAGTGAGAGTGAGAGTGAGAGCGAGAGTGAGAGCGAGAGTGAGAGTGAGAGTGAGAGTGAGAGTGAGAGTGAGAGTGAGAGTGCCCTTCTCCCTTCTCAAGCCTCAGGTAGGTGAGTGAGTGACTGCCAGTCCCGCCAGTTCCCTTCCCACTTGCCCCATTGTTGTATTTCTCACACACACCCCCCTCAGGTGACTGCCATTCACCATCTGCTGATCGCCATTCTAGTCTAGTTTTGAGTCGACTCTAAATTGATCGACATTCAAGTCTCCTCTCCTCACCCCATCCTTGCAGATGCGCACGCCAGGGGGGCACATGGTTTCTCGGGTGTTACTTTTGCGAACTCTCTCAAGTAACAACAATATAGTTGCCGAGTGCCGTTCTAGTCTAGTCTCTTTGCACTCTCCTTGCAGATGCGCACGCCAGGGGGGCACATGATTACTCCGCCACGTGGTGTGGTCTTCCGGTCCTCTCCTGTCTTGTCTCAACACCCTTCAACTGAACTCACAGATAAGCACGCCAGGGGAGCATGTGACCACTCGCTCCAATGAAAGGTGGTCGCCTCAAGTGCCCACTCACTGATTCTTCCCGCCTTTTTCCTGTCTCTGTGTGTGTTTTGAGACGTCTCAAAACACTCAATGATTTCCCCTGCCTTTTTCCTGTCCCTGTGTGTGTAACTCTCCTCGCAGATGCACACACCTGGGGGGCATGTGATCCCTCGCTCCAGTGAAAGCTTGTCGCCTCGAGTGGCCAGAGCCACATGCCTGCTACTGCCGCCCCTCATCATAGCCCGCTTGCTGGCTGCCATTGTGACCGTCCTCTACAGGTACAGCGCAAGAGCACAGCAGGTACAGGTGCTAGAGTGCTGGTACTGGAACAGGTACAGTGTGCAAATATATTCACATCATATTCCCCTCATCTTGCCCGCCTGCTGGCTGCCACGTTTTTGTTTTACTATTATTCTTATTATTATTATCATCATCGTCATTCTTATTATTATCATTATTCATTTTATTAATATTATTATTAAAGTGTAAAATCTACAAGAGCTGAAAGTAATTATACTATTTTCTACAGGCGTGTGCGTTCCCGCAGAATTGACTAGCAGTGGCTGCATGGTGCTCGCCCATTCTCCATGGTACTCTCTGTCAGAATGTTATGTTTGTCTAGCCTGCAGTGGGGTACTCTGTACATGTACAGCCCATTAAAGTTTCCTATTTGTATCCTGCTGCTGCTAGTCCAAAGCCCCTTCCTTCTTCAATTCTCTTTCAGAAACCCTAAGCCCTAGCTACTGGCCTCTAAGCCTATGGCTCCTAAGCCTACTGCTATCATTCTCGCCTAGACATTCTGATATGGTATCAGAGCTACTTAGCTCCTGGCCTGTGGGCCCGTATGCTTCCGCTGCTGCTGCACTGCCTGTCGCGCGCCCCGTGGCGCGTGACATTGTTTTTTCTTCCCGCCGCGCGCTCGGGGCGCGCGGCGGTTTTCTGCCCGCTACGCGCTCGGGGCGCGTGGCAGTTTCCTGCCCGCCGCGTGCCCCGGACGCGCGCGGCGGTTTCGTCACCCGTCGCGGCGCCCCTGGGGGCCCGCACGCCGTCCCCCCCCCCCCCTTCCCGTCGCCCGTCGCGACGCCCTGGGGGCCCGCGCGCCGCCCTGCCCGTCGCCCGTCGCGGCACCCCAGGGGCCCGCGCGCAGTTCCCCCCCTTCCCGTCGCCCGTCGCGGCGCCCTGGGGGCCCGCGCGCAGCCCCCCTTCCGTCGGGCGTCGTGGCGCCCTGGGGGCCGCGCGTCAGCCCCTCCCGTCGCCCGTCGCGGCGCCCTGGGGGCCCGCGCGCAGCCCCCTCCCCTCGCCCATCGTGGCGCCCTGGGGGGTCAGTGGTGCTTGGCGGGTGGAGTGTGAGTGGAGCCAGGGGTTCAGCAGGGGGTGTGTGAAAGGTGTGTGGGACAGTTGGGGGAGGTTGAGTGGAGGCAGCAGTCTTGTCGTCCGCAGCGCCTGTAGTCCGGGGCCCTTGCCGCTGGTAGCCCAGAGAGCCTGCTGCGCCTGTCGCCCGTGGGTCCGTTGCTCCTGCCGCTCGTCTTAGCCGCGGAGCCTGTTACTCCTGTAGTCCGGGGCCCTTGCCACCGGTAGCCACTGTGCGCGCCGCTCCTGTTGCCCGTGTGTCTGCAGCTTCAGCCGTTGCCTCCCATCTTCTCTCCTCTCACAGTCCCTCCTCCTCCTCACTTGCCCTCTGTGATAGCCTCTAGCTTTGCTTATATTTATGAACTATGAACTGTTGCTTGTTGTGCTGATCATACCCCACTTTGACTATGGGGGTGTGTCAGAATGTTATGTTTGTCTAGCCTGCAGTGGGGTACTCTGTAGCGAGTACAGCCCATTAGGGTTTCCTATTTGTATCCTGCTGCTGCTAGTCCAAAGCCCCTTCCTTCTTCAATTCACTTTCGGAAACCCTAAGCCCTAGCTATTGGCCTCTAAGCCTATGGCTCCTAAGCCTACTGCTATCATTCTCGCCTAGACATTCTGATACTCTCTTGTCCTTTCTTCGTTAGTTCTGTCTCCAATTTTTCCCTCATACTTGGTCGTTCTCCCCTCCCCTCATTCTCCTCTCTTCCATTTCCCCTCCCACCCACCCTTCGCTTTCCCCGCCTCCCAGCGACATCAACTCAGTGTGGCTGCGTGACCCCCGCCGCTACTTCCCGCCAGCCTACTCCCTCATGCTGCCCTCCCTCTCCCACCAAGACCAGCCGCCGCCACAGCAGCAGCAGCAGCAGCAGCGGCCCCTGCACCCACCAACATTACCGTCCTAACGCCATCCCTTCTAGGGTCCCTCTCTCCTTGGCTCATGGCTCTTCGCCCCTCCCCTGCTGTGCAAGCCATGGTGCACCGCTGGGCTGTTGGGGCTTTAAGGGGGTATGTGACGGCAGGTGCGGCAGCAGCAAGGGGTGGTTCGGGTGTGTTTTCTGGTTCGGAGGTTCTTAGCATGGCGCTGAATCACGCCGTGGCTGAGATGGTTCGGGGAGTGAGGCTCGTGGGAGTCGAAGAGGATAGTTTCGGTGGAGGTTCGGAAGGAGGTCCGAGAGGTGGAATGGAAGCAGGTGCGGAAGCAGGTACGGGAGGAGTCACAGAGGATACAGGAGAGGGGCGAAGTGTAGCAAGCGTGGGGGTGCTGCCAGAGCAGTTATTCCCGCCTGGGTGGAAGGCGGTGGGGGATAGGGCATGGCTGGAGGCGCATAGGAAGGAGATAGTGGCCGTGCAGGTGAGCTGTGGGGAGGATGGCAGGCAGCAAGAAGTTTGTCTTCGAGACATGAAGCTATGGTTGTAACTTGTAATCATTGCTGCTGCTATGGCTGTACTGAGTCCTGACAAGGTGTGACCACCGTAGTAGAATCGTTGAGATCTGGCATGGTTGGTTGGAGGTTCATCAACCTGGCTGGATTTTGTCCAATAAAGCCCCAGGGCGGAGCCATAGTGTACTCAAAATTCACGCCATGACAAGGCTTGGCCATTGTAGTTGAAGAATTGGGATCTGTTTAGGTTGATAATGATGTATAAGATGGTTTTTTTTTTGCAATATTTCTGGTGATGTTGAATAACAATAATCATTTCCCAACAACAATGACTTAGATGAGTAACCAGACGCACATTCATATTTCGCGAGAAGGCACGAATTGTCGCTAGCCGTTGGCATTCTGCGAGATACGGCAAGAAGATTGATTGGCAACCCCAATTGGCTTGCGACTGTTTGTGTCAATACACAAGCGGGAATAGTCGCAGGAGGACAGGATACGTCAGGAGGACGACCCTCAACGTTGAAGCAGCTTCTAGATTGCTGAGATGTGCGGCACCCATTGGGCTTGGGCTTCCGTTATCCGTTGGTTTGATTGAAACCACACAATTAGAGTGACCCGACTTAGCTATGATTCGTCCATAAATTTGCAGATGTGTGGCACAGATTCGTTTCCATTCGTCTTCCCTTCGTCTTCGATGCTTTCATACGTGTTCCGTGAAATAATCACGCGACGCGACGATTTTCAACTTTCGCTCAATCCTGTGGACTAGCCTCGCGCCGCCCTCCACATTTTTTAATATCTATCAATCCCATGGACTGCCACTTATTGCTGCACCCGCTAACACAGAGCTATTGTCCTGCGTATTCGTTGTTCTCGAGTTTAGGGTCCCTAGCAGGCTGCGCTTTTGCGAGAAATCGTATCTGACGCAATCCCGCTGCAATGATTGCAAACCCAGCGTAGTTGTCTTTTTGCGCGTCTGGACGATGATTGCAAATCGTAGATTTGTGTGGATACCACCAATGCGTGCGTCGGGATGCAAAAAAATCTACGAATCGTTGGGAACGACCTGTCAAGTTCTGGACCGGTGCTTCTATTGTACTGCCAGTACATCATAAAAAACCGGGCCTGAAAACAGGTGGTTTAGGTTCGGTTTTCTGTCCAACCAACGGAAATCCGTCGGAAAACTCTCAACCTGCTCCGACGGATCTCCAACGAGCGGCGCGCTGGTATTGTCACTGAATCTTCCAGCGGTTTTCCATCTCGGAGGGGTTCCATGATTTCCATCGGAAAGCAGATCTTATTTCCGGCGGATTTCCACCACCACCGCGCATCGGTCGAAACTGATTTTCCGAGCAATAGATATGATAAACATTTTACTGTAGGCACAGTACACTGTAGTGTTCGGATTACGCACCAATTTAAACACCCTATTTTGTTTCCCAGTATTTAATAACTCTAAAATTAATTAAACGTAAAAAGTGAATGGTTTCAGACGATATTAATTGGGTATTTTGCTGACTAAATTTCTCGTGTGATGGTTCCAATGTTTAACATGATATCCAGTATTACTGCAGTACATACCTAAGTTGGGCTGTTACGGTTTTCCGGGCAGCGTAAACGTAAATTTCGCGAAATGTTACGATTTCGATTTCGTACGTTAAGTTACGCGTAAGTCTGACGCGGGCAGCGGAAAAAAAAAAATCGCGGCCCGTTTTTTTTCATCCAGGATTATGGCTTACAATAGAAGCAAGTACAACTAATCCGAGCCTTCTGCAATAGCGAACTAAGTAGAAACGCAGCGCCTTTAAAGTCCCTAACGCGATCTGAATCTGTGCTGTCTTGGTGGTGGGTGAAAATATCAAGCCACTAAGTTTAGATCGATTAGGTCGAGAGAGTTTTCTAGGCTGTGAGGGCGACAATACCTTGTGCTAGGGAGGAGGGTGTGAGTGGTGGTTTGTTGGGCTCGGGATTAGGACGCGCGCTTTGCGAAATTCTGTAGGGAGATTCGTCGGCTATGTGATTGGCGTACGTGCGTGGCGGAATTTGTAGGTGTGGATGTTGGCGAAATTCAAGTTAGGGTTCGCGACTGCCACAATTTCTGTTCGGTTGTTTGGTGAAAACGAAAAAAAAAAATGTAACAGCGAATCCAACCAACCGTAGGTCTTAGCGAATCAGCAAAGCCAGAAATATTACGTGACCCCACTTTGTCGAAACTGGATCTGAATCCAGAATCCAGATCCAAATTCCCTAAGTAGAGCAGAACTTCGTATTCAGCGACTGCTTAGCTCTAGTTCCTCGATCTCCGTAACCTATGGCTTCACCTGCTAATCTTAGCGAGCACCCCGTTTGGAGGCATTTTAAATAACCAGATGGGGCTCCATCAGATTCGGCGGAAAGGCAATGCAAGTTTTGCAATCATTCGTGGTCCCTTAACGTTACTCGTGCGCAGGCGCATATCCTTGGTAATAGCAAGGACATTAGAGCATGCAAGAAAGTGTCAGCAGAGGCTAAGGTTGAAGTGCGTACAGCGGCATCAGCCAAGTCTAGTGAGCAGGAAGCTAAGCGGATCGCCTCGAAGCGCACGATGGACGCGTTTAGCAAGGAGACAACCGGGATCGTTGCTAGTTCTAGTACACCAAGCAAGCGCCCGGCAAATCAGAAAACGTTGCTCGAATGTCGGCCTACAGGTGCAAATCTCGCAAGCGCGCAGCAGGCGGTTGCAACGTTTTTCCACGTTTGCCACATTGCCCCCAATGTAGCGGAGCACGCCGCTTTCAAGTCTATGTTGAGGAAAGTGGAGGCAGGTGGTCCTGGATTTCCAACACCTACTCGAAAGCTGATCATGGGCCGGCTCTTGCAAGATTGCAAGGATACCACGGACGACGCGTTGAAACCGATCAAGGACTCATGGAGCGACATTGGTGTGAGCATTGCTACTGACGGATGGACAGATATCTCTAGCCGCCCACAGATGAACTTCCTAGCAGTGAACACGAAGGGAGCTGTCTTATTGTTCGGCGTTGATTGCGGTACAAAGAAGAAGGGCGGCGAGTACATTGCCGAACACCTCAAGAGAGCCATCGGCATGGTTGGAGCAGAGAATGTGGTGGGGCTGCTAATGGATGGCGCAAGCAACAACATTAGCGCAGCCAACATCGTGAAGGCGGAATTTCCAAAGGTGGAATACATCCGTTGCGCGGCTCACAGCCTCAACAATCTGATGAAAGACATTGGGGGGCGCAAATGGGCTGCCAAAATCATTGGCAAGGCGCAAGACCTGATTTCGGTTTTGAAGAAGGCACATTGGATCACCGGCTACTTCCGTGAGAAAAAATCTCTCATGCTGCTTAAGCCCGCTGGCACACGCTTTGGAACAAACTATATAGCGCTGCAACGTTTGCTGGATGTGCGTCCTGTACTTGACCAAATGGTGCTGACCACAGGGTGGGCTGCCCAGGCACATGGGAAGAAGCGAATGGTTGCGGCACGCGGCGTGATTAGGGATGACCATTTTTGGGAGGGGGTGGAGAGGGTGGTACGTGTCTTGAAGCCGATTTACATGCTCTTGAGGGCGCTTGATGGAAATCAGGAGGTAATGGGGAAGATGTATGACATGATGCTGGATTTAGAGGAGAGTATGAAGGCGGCTTGCAGCTGCCTGAGGAGCAAGGAGAGCAAGTGGATTTTGGGGGCCGTGCGGCGTCGCTGGAATAAGAACATCAACTGCGCCTTACATGTGGTGGGTCGGATTTTGTATCCACCAAATCAATACGAGAAGATCTTCGGCAGGGACATTGAGTGCACTAGGATCTTCAAGCAGTTCATAAGGGATTACTATAACGGGGAGTACGTGGTGGATAAGGATGGCACGAAGTTTCCAATGGCGACCATTGTTGAGAGGGAGATTGTTATTTATGTGAAGGGAGAAGGGGCCATTGGTGAGCCGAAGGCAAGGGCAGATCTCGAGCTCGTGAAGGTGGGCAAGTTGGACCCAACTCATTGGTGGGAGTATAGTGGGGAGCAGCACTGCCCCAACCTTGCTAAAATGGCTTGCAAGGTTCTCAAGCAGTGTGTTTCTGCTTCCGCGTGTGAAACCAATTGGGGGGTTTGGGAATCCATCCACACCGCGCGGCGAAACCGCCTAGGACCCAAGCGCCTCGAAGACCTTGTCTACGTGACACACAATTACAACACAGTATGTAAGGTGCATGAGGAGCATGAGAAGCGGTTCTTCAAGGCTGGCCACGAATCCATTCAGATTGAGGAACAGCAGCAAGATCCTTATAAACCGCTCGACGATGACGACATCCCCGATGATGCTTACATGGAAGATGAAGAGGAGGAAGAGGAGGCGGATAAGGAGGAGGAAAAGCAGGAGGATGGAGGAGGAAAGGGGGGGGAGGAGGAGGAGGAGGAGGAGGAGGAGGAGGAGGAGGAGGAGGATGAAGAGGAAGAAGATGAGTAGGTTGGGGAGTAGGGAGAGAAGAGGGTGGATTAGGAGCAGCAGGGGGGAGGACAACCATGGGGAAGAGATAGGGGGATTATATTATATGTTTTCCAAGTTTCCATTATTTACCTTCCTCCACTATTGACATATAGATACAACATGGATCTCTTGAGTATTCTGGTAGTTTTTTTTCCCTCGGGCAGCCCAAAAAAGTTTTCAGCTGACCGTAACCGTAAGGCCGATTCAGGGCTACCGTTCGTAAACATAAAAATCGTCGTAAACGTCCGAAAACGTAAGGCCCCGTAAACAAAAAATCCAACTTAGGTACATACAACAGAGACTGTCAGAATATAATGCTTGTCTAGTCTGTAGTGGGGTACTCAATAGTGAGTATGTTAAAACTAACTGGCAGGAATGAGGATGACTAACAAGAATGTGAGTACAAATATGCAACCCTAGAGTTTGTGTACCCCCTAAAGGCTAACCCACTGTAGCCTAAACAACAACAACAGATATAATGTTTGACACACCCCCATAGGCAAAGTGGGGGAGAACAAGGGGTCACAAGACCAGTCAGAGCAAAGCAAAGCACAAGCAAGCTCAGGGTGGATCTCAAGGGATACCACACAAATTCCGAGCACAAGCAAGTGGTCACAAGACCAGTTCACATGCAGTTTGATAGTAGAGCAAGAGGTACAGTGATCACAACCTAGCAAGTGAAAGCATGCAGGTATATATATATAGAGATCACAGTACAAACAAAGTCAAGAAGTAAGCAAGTGAGGTCCAGTAGGCACAAGGCCTAGAAGAGTACAGAAGCGCTCAAGGCTGAAGCGCCTTGGTGAGCACGTCAGCAGTGTTGGCCTGAGTGGCCACGTAACGCAGACAAAGCTGACCACGCTGCTGCAGCTCACGAGCCAGAAAGTACCGCAGAGCGATGTGCTTCGTTCTGTGCTCCAGTCTGTGCTCCTCACACAAGGCAATGGCAGCCTTGTTGTCGACGTACAGCACTGGAGGAGAACGAGGCCGCTCTCCCAAGTCGGTCAGCAGGTAGGTGAGCCAGCGTAGCTCCTGGGCCGCCATGGCTGTGGCGTAGATCTCAGCCTCACAACTGGAGCTGAGAACAGAAGAAGAGCGTGTAGAACGCCAAGAAACTGAGCCGGAGCCAAGGCTGAAGGTGTAACCCTGAGACGACCGCTGCGTGGCCTGGTCGTCCGCCCAAGAAGCGTCTGAGTGTCCAGTGAGAACAACTCGGTCTCGCCCTCCAAGCACTAGCCCCATGCCCGACGTACTGCACAAGTAGCGCAACACCCTCTTAGCGGCATCCATGTGCTCCTTCCGGTGACGGCCAGGAGCGACATAGCGTGCAAGGATGCTAAGAGGGTATGCAAGGTCAGGACGAGTGCAGGTCATCAGGTACATGAGGCAGCCCACAAGCTCTGGATACGGGCCACTCGGCTCTACGGACTCATCCGAAGGCAGAGCTGAGAGCGAGTGACCGGTAGGCAGAGGAGTGGACTGAGGCGAGGAGTACGTGAAACCGAAGCGCTGAAGGACCTGCTGCACCATGTGTGACTGAGTCAAGGTAATGGTGCGCCGTGCTCTGTCCCGGGTGATCCGCAAGCCAAGGTAGCTTGTCAGTTCACCCAGGTTTGTGCACGTGTGTCTCTTCTGCAGCTCCGACTTCACGTGGGCGAGAGCCTGAGTGTCAGCAGTGGCAAAGACCAAGTCGTCGACGTACACGAGGATGTAGAACGGCGGCAACGAAGTGTCTGTGCGCAGAAACAGCGACGGGTCAGCTGTAGAAGGCGCGAACCCAAGTGCCGCAAGTGTAGTCCTCAGTGTGTCGTGCCACTCACGTGGCGCCTGGCAGAGACCGTAGACCGGCCGGCGGAGGCTCCACTGGGTACCAGGAGGAAACGACCCAGTAAAGCCAGGAGGGCGGCGCAGCCAGATCTCCTCGTGCAGACTACCCTGCAAGAAAGCAGTGCTGAAGTCAAGAGAGTGAAGCTTGTAGTCACGCTGAGCGGCTATGTGCAGCAGCACCCGAAGAGTGGTCATCTTCGGGGTGGGGGAGAAGGTCTGGAAGAAGTCGACTCCCTCACGCTGGCTGAAGCCTCGAGCAACGTAACGCGCCTTGAAGACAGGCGGAGAACCCGGCGGCCGCTTCACCCTGAAAATCCACATGCCACTGACGATGTTCGCCCCTGGTGGGGGAACAGCGTCGACGTAGGTGCCTGTGGACTTCCAGGAAGCCATCTCTGCGTCCATGGCTGTCTGCCACTGAGAGGAGTAGGGACCCGCTATCGCCTCTGCGTAAGAGCGCGGGGTCGGGATGTCTGGTGCATCCGGGTCTCCCTCAGGGGCAACTAGCATGGACACGAGATGAGGTAAAGCAGCAGCAAAGCACTGGAACTCCTCCTGCCTGTCCTCAAGGACGTCCGTACCAAGAGCACACTCACCCCCGACGGACGGAGGACAGACAGACTCAGACTCAGCAACTAGGCTAGCGGCGTAGTCGAGACGACAAGCGGCAGCAAAGTCAACTAACTCAGCGACTAGAGCAGACGCAGCAGAGGACTCAAAGGTAGGGTCAGTGACAACAGTAGCAAGGAGACGCGTGACAGTAGGACGGGCAGCACGAAGGGAGTCAGACTCCGGGTCAGGAAGCTCAGGAAGAGAGGACGCAGGAGGAGACGGTAGAAGGACACGCTGAGGAGCAGTGGAGGGACGCAGAGTCATGTAGTGAGTGCCAGGGACAGGAGGAGGACGCTCACGCGGGACACGACGACCAGTGCGAGCAGCACGGACAGGCGACGCAGAGCGAGACGCAGGCGACACAGGACGAGACTCAGGCTCACGACGCTCCGTAAGACCTCCTGTGGGACCAGTGTAAGGAGAAGGACCGGGGAGCGGCGAGGGAGGCGGGAACTGCGACTGCGACGGGACCGGCGGAGGACACTCTAAGGAGGGAGCAGGACAAGGAGGAGGAGGCTGACCAAGAACCTGCTGGAGAAGCGGAACGAAGTACGGTCGGGGCCGCTCAGTGACTCCAGAACCAGGAGAGACGGCACCAGCACCCGCGGCAGCTCCAGCAGCACCAGCTCCAGGGTCCGCAGCACCAGCAGCAGCTCCAGCGCCAGGGTCCGCAGCACCAGCAGCAGCTCCAGCTCCAGGGTCCGCAGTACCAGCAGCAGCTCCAGCTCCCGGGTCCGCAGCACCAGCAGCAGCTCCAGCGTCAGGGTCCGCAGCACCAGCAGCAGCTCCAGCTCCAGGGTCCGCAGCACCAGCAGCAGCCCCAACTCCAGGGTCCGCAGTACCAGCAGCAGCTCCAGCTCCCGGGTCCGCAGCACCAGCAGCAGCTCCAGCGTCAGGGTCCGCAGCACCAGCAGCACTAGCAGGGCCTCCAGCAACAGCAGCAGCACCTCCAGCACCAGGGTCCGCGACACCAGGCGCTCCACTCCGGAGAGTGCAGCGCCGCTCGTACCACTCGCGGATCCGCTCAAGAGAGGGCAGCTCCCGCTGAGGAGGGGAGGCACCAGCACCAGTCGCAGCAGCACTCCTGGTCCCAGAGGCACCTCTCCGGAGGCTGCAGTACTCTGAGTACCACTCACGCAGCCGCTCCGAGGAGAGAGCTCCCCCAGGCGCAGGACTCCCAGGCTCAGCACCCCCAGACTCAGCACTCCCAGACCCAGAACTCTGCAGCTCAGCACCCCCAGGCACAGCACCCCCAGGCTCAGCACGCCCAGGCTCAGCACCCCCAGACTCCGCACCCCCAGGCTCCGCAACCGCAGGCTCCGCACCCCCAGGCTCAGCACCCCCAGGCTCAGTACCCTCAGGCTCAGCACTCCCAGGCTCAGTACCCCCAGACTCCGCACCCCCAGGCTCCGCACCCGCAGCAGGACGAGAGTCAACAGCTACCTCAACAGGCTCAACCGGGTCTACCTGGGACACACCTGAGGGAGCGGCACCCTGAGGGGGGAGGGGGTCTACCACAGCGGCACCTGGCGCGAGGAAGAGAGGCGGGGGGGGGAGCGGGGCAGTGCGGTAGGGGAAGAGGCGGTAGTAGGGGACGGACTCGTCAAACGTGACGTCCTGAGAGGTGGCGTGGTAAAACTGCCAACCAGACGCGTCAGGGACAAAGCCAAGGAAGACGCAGGGAACAGCGCGGGTGGAGAGCTTGTCCGCGGACGTATCGTGGACAAAAGCTCGAGATCCCCAGACCCGGAAACGCGACGCATCGCCAACCTCCCCCGTCCACAGCAGCGTGGGCGAGGTCTCCGGCAAGGAGACACGGGGCCAGAGGTTGAGCTGATGCGCAGCGTACCGGACCGCAAACGGCCACAGAAAGTGGGGGGCAGCCGCATGACTAGGCCAATGCGGCGCTCCGCAACCCCATTCTGCTGTGGAGAGGCCGAAAGCGTGAACGACTGCTCAATGCCGTGCTCAGCACAGTAGGAGAACTCACCACCTCTGTCAGAGTGCAAGCGCAGGACAGGAAAGTCCGAGTGGAAACGCTCGCTGAGCTGGAGACGAGCTCTGCGGATCCAAGGGATCAAAACATCAGGGACCTCACCCTTGGTGCGCAAGGGGAAGACCGTGGTGTAGCGCGAGTAGTCGTCAACAACTATCAGGAAGTACCTCTCCTGACCCTGACCACGGACGTGGGCTGGGCCCCACACGTCCATGTGGAGCGTCTGCAAGGGAGCAGTCGTCGGGGGAAAGGAGGAGGAGTGAGGAGCGGCGCGCTGCCGCCCCTCGACACAGGGAAGACAGGAAGGAGCAGGCGAGGGTGGGAGGGGAGGGAGGACCCTGGGAAGACCAGAGACAAGGTACCTGGAGTGCATGGCGCGAAGGCGCTGCACAGACGGGTGGCCAAGTCGGTGGTGCCAGAGGACAGTCTCGTGCGCCAGAGAGCGACACGAGCAGGGGGCCGACAGCTGACCTGACGCAGACGCAGACGCAGACGCAGCGACCTGAGGGGACTCAGTGGTCAGTGTGTACAGGTCCGACCCCGGCTGCCGAGTGAAGGTAGCCAAGTGGCGGCCCGTACGGGCACACGTGCAGTGCGTCACGCGCTCGTAGGCCGGGGTGAACTGGTGAACACCCGCGTCCTGGAGCGCACACCCAGCCACCAGGTTCGTAGAGAACGAGGGGAGGTGGAGACCGGACAGTGTGCCCGACGGGACCGCAGGACAGGGAAGGACAGTGGAGGAGGTCGCCACGACTGGTCCCCCGGAGGGGTCAGCGAGGGAGACAGCAACTGGCCGAGCAAGTGGCTCAAGGGCAGTGCGGTCACGAAAGAAACAGCGAGAAGCACCTGAGTCCAGTGTGAAGGTGTGCAGTGCTGCAGTCGACTCAGTATCAGTGGGCGCAGACGCACAAGCACCTAGAGCAGCAGCCGTACCAGCACCTGAGGTAGCAGACACGCGCGGACCTGAAGCGGCAGACTCACTGGTCCTAATGCCCGGGTCGGGCGGAACACACAGGTACTCAGCACCCTCTCCACTAGTAGACATCACATACATGGCAGTGAGAATAGCATCAAAGTCTAGAGCATAGATATCAATCCCCTTCTTCAGGAGATCAATCCAGCGGGGCAGCTCAGAGGCCTGAGGGAACTGAACACGCCAAGCGTCGTCGAGACGAGAGAAGCAGCGCTGCGCGGTGTGGGCCCTCCCACACGTCTGACCAGCGCGGTCACCAGTGCGGATGACGTACGTGCAGCTAAGCCCACCCCCCCCCCCCCCCCCCCCCCCCCCGTGCTGAGAGTACCACTCACGGACCTCCTGGAGCGACGGAGTGTGCTGCTGGCTCTGGCCACCACCAGCGCCTCCACGACCACCACCTCCGCTCCCACCTCCTCGACCACCCCAACCCGTGCCGCCTCCACGTCCACCGCCACCCCCACCACCGCCCCCGCCTCTGCCACCTTCCCCGCCGCTACCGCCACCCCCCCCACCGCCACCACTCACCCCTCCAGCCACGCCACCACCCCACCGCCGCCACCGCCCCCACCACCTCCTCCCCCACTGTGACCTCCGCCTCCCTTGCCCCCTTTGCCCTTGCCGCTGCGGCGTCCGCTCGAAGCAGACGCAGTCCCGACCTTCTCAGCACCAAGGAGGTCGACAGCAGCAGCAGAGGCGACAGAGGGAAGAAGGGGGGAAGGAGAACACCCCTCAAAGAACGGGGTGCGGGGGTCGCCACGAGAGGCACCTACAGCGACTATGCTAGCCTCAGCTGCAAGTAGTTCCTTCTCGAGGAGGGCAATGGTGAGCTCAGTAGGGCAGCGAGCTAGGAAGGAATCCCTGACTGCACGCAGAGAGTCAGGGAGGCGGGTGACTAGGTGGTAGAGAGTGAGCCAGAGCGGGGGAGGGTTCTTGGCAAGGAACTCGGCGGGCATGGCAGCACGGAAGCGGGCCTCACTAGTACGGAGGTGGGTGATGAGGTCAGCGACTGTGTGGAAAGAGGACAGGTCGGGGAACAGGTAGGGAAGCGAGAGACGGCCTAGAGCGGCAGAGGCAGGCGAGGAGTAGCGGGCAACGACAGCTTTGTACAGGTCCTGTGCAGTCTTGTGCTGGCCAAAGTGCTCGCGCTCTTCTAGCGGCAGGGAGTTGCGAATAGCAAAGCGAGCGTGGGCGTCATGAGTCTGCCACTGTGAGCGGGTAGAGCTGTCGGCAGTAGCAGCAGGCGCAGGGGCATGGCCTAGGGCGTGATCGTACAGTGAGATGTCTTCCTTGGCAGTGAGCTGTAGGAAAAGGTGCAGGTCATCTAGCCAGGTGTCAAATTTCACTGGACGTCCCTCAGTATCGAAAGCTAGCACGGGAGGACTAGCCATAGTAGCAGTAGCAGCAGTAGCAGTAACAGTAGTAGGTAGTGCGACTCAGGGAGGGCGGCTCGGCGCAGGTAGGGCGGCGCGGCTCGGTTAGGGCGGCGCGGCTCGGTTAGGGCGGCGCGGCTCGGTTAGGGCGGCGCGGCTCGGTGGGCCCCGCGCGTCTGCGACAGGGGCTTCAAGCTGCTGCCCAACGCCTCCTGCGCACGTGAGCTCCCCTTCACCCACCCTGCTTGCTTCACCCACCCTTGTTGGGTATATATCAGGGGGGGAGGTGTTGTTGAGCGCACGTGACCCCACCCACCCTTGTCGCTTTCTGCACGTGATCTACTGTCGCCCGTATTGACGCCTTTCGTCACACTTGACATCAGCAGGTCAAGGATTTGTATCCTCCTCGCCACGGTTACCAGTATCACCCCTGCCATTGCTGCCACTCGTTTCAAACCTTCCCAGTCCCATATCAACGCCTCTCATCTCATCATACTCCCCTGTGCTTGCTCTGCTGCCCTCCCTGACATGCTGTGAACCTGGCAGAGGTGTGCACGAGCGAGGACTGTGGGGAGCACGGGTTCTGTGAGGAGGAGCAGGGGCGCACCGCACCACCTGTCTTTGAGACGTCTCAGAATCATTTTTGTACTCCCCTGTGCTCGCTCTGCTGTCCCCCCTCTCGTGCTGTGTACAAATCTGGCAGAGTTGTGCACGAGCGCGGACTGTGGGGAGCACGGGTACTGTGAGGAGGAGCAGGGGGGGCGCACCACGTGTCGCTGCAACACTGGCTTCGCCAAGACCGCTGACGGCTGTGTTGGTCAGTGCTGCTGCTTGCTTACTATCCCGTGTTGTCCTGATGAGACGCACACTGATGGCTTTCTGTGTTGACACCTTGGCTTTGCGCAAGGGGAGGATGGCAGGACATACACATGTAGCTGCTGCTGCTGCTGCTGCTGCTGCTGCTGCTGCTGAATGCTGTGTGCCGCTGCTTCCATGTGTTCTGATTGTGCTGCTGCTGTATATGTATACTGCCCTTCTCTCACTATTCTTTTTGCTATTCTTTTGCTCCCGCCGCTCCTCCCTCCCCTGGCAGACACGTGTGTGCTCCTGGAGTGCGGTTAGAACGGCCAGTGCGTGAAGGACGAGGAGGGGGCGGCGTCGTGTGTGTGTGACGCTGGCTTCACGCTGCGAGATGATGGCAAGTCGTGCGCTGGTAAGGCTGCTGTGATGGCAAGTCGTGCGCTGCTAGGCTGCTCTGCGCTGCTAGGCTGCTCTGTGCTGCTAGGCTGCTCTGTGCTGCTAGGCTGCTCTGTGCTGCTAGGCTGCTCTGTGCTGTTAGGCTGCTCTGTGCTGCTAGGCTGCTCTGTGCTGCTAGGCTGCTCTGTGCTGCTAGGCTGCTCTGCGCTGCTAGGCTGCTCTGTGCTGCTAGGCTGCTCTGTGCTGCTAGGCTGCTCTGTGCTGCTAGGCTGCTCTGTGCTGCTAGGCTGCTCTGTGCTGCTAGGCTGCTCTGTGCTGCTAGGCTGCTCTGTGCTGCTAGGCTGCTCTGTGCTGCTAGGCTGCTCTGTGCTGCTAGGCTGCTCTGTGCTGCTAGGCTGCTCTGTGCTGCTAGGCTGCTCTGTGCTGCTAGGCTGCTCTGTTCTGCTAGGCTGCTCTGTGCTGCTAGGCTGCTCTCTGCTGCTAGGCTGCTCTGTGCTGCTAGGCTGCTCTGTGCTGCTAGGCTGCTCTGTGCTGCTAGGCTGCTCTGCGCTGCTAGGCTGCTCTGTTTTGCTAGGCTGCTCTGTGCTGCTAGGCTGCTCTGTGCTGCTAGGCTGCTCTGCGCTGCTAGGCTGCTCTGTGCTGCTAGGCTGCTCTGTGCTGCTAGGCTGCTCTGTTCTGCTAGGCTGCTCTGTTTTGCTAGGCTGCTCTGTGCTGCTAGGCTGCTCTGTGCTGCTAGGCTGCTCTGTGCTGCTAGGCTGCTCTGCGCTGCTAGGCTGCTCTGTGCTGCTAGGCTGCTCTGCGCTGCTAGGTTGCTCTGTGCTGCTAGGCTGCTCTGTGCTGCTAGGCTGCTCTGTGCTGCTATGCTGCTCTGTGCTGCTAGGCTGCTCTGTGCTGCTAGGCTGCTCTGTGCTGCTAGACTGCTCTGTGCTGCTAGGCTGCTCTGTGCTGCTAGGCTGCTCTGTGCTGCTAGGCTGCTCTGTGCTGCTAGGCTGCTCTGTTCTGCTAGGCTGCTCTGTGCTGCTAGGCTGCTCTGTGCTGCTAGGCTGCTCTGTGCTGCTAGGCTGCTCTGTGCTGCTAGGCTGCTCTGTGATGCTAGGCTGCTCTGTTCTGCTAGGCTGCTCTGTGCTGCTAGGCTGCTCTGTGCTGCTAGGATGCTCTGTGCTGCTAGGCTGCTCTGTGCTGCTAGGCTGCTCTGTGCTGCTAGGCTGCTCTGTGCTGCTAGGCTGCTCTGTGCTGCTAGGCTGCTCTGTGCTGCTAGGCTGCTCTGTGCTGCTAGGCTGCTCTGTGCTGCTAGGCTGCTCTGCGCTGCTAGGCTGCTCTGTGCTGCTAGGCTGCTCTGTGCTGCTAGGCTGCTCTGTGCTGCTAGGCTGCTCTGTGCTGCTAGGCTGCTCTGTGCTGCTAGGCTGCTCTGTGCTGCTAGGCTGCTCTGTGCTGCCATACTTCTTTTCTTTCCCTCTCTCTCCCCATCTCTCTCTCCCTCTCTCTCTCTGTCTGTCTCTCTCTCTCTCTCTCTCTCTCTCTCTCTCTCTCTCTCTCTCTCTCTCTCTCTCTCTCTCTCTCTCACCATTCCCTTGTGACCTCCGCCTCCCTGCCTCACATCGTTTTTGCTAACAGCCCAAATATCTGTGCATGTATGCCTGCATGTATGCCTGCATGTATGCCTGCATGTATGCCTGCATGTATGCCTGCATGTATGCCTGCATGTATGCCTGCATGTATGCCTGCATGTATGCCTGCATGTATGCCTGCATGTATGCCTGCATGTATGCCTGCATGTATGCCTGCATGTATGCCTGCATGTATGCCTGCATGTATGCCTGCATGTATGCCTGCATGTATGCCTGCATGTATGCCTGCATGTATGCCTGCATGTATGCCTGCATGTATGCCTGCCCATGCCTGACCTGCACTCCCTGCCCCCCGTTGTGTTTCGCAGAGGATGCGCCCAGGCCTCCAGCAGTCGTCCTGCCACCTGCTGCCAGCAACCGCCGCTGCCCTCGGGGCCAAGAGAAGGACGCCGAGGGCAACTGCGTCGGTGGGTGCTGGTGCTGGTGCTGTCAGAATGATTGAATTTTCATTGCATGCAACATTGCTCCTCTCCACTCTGCTGACTTTTGAGTGTCTCAAGAGTCAGCGGGGCCAAGAGAAGGACGCCGAGGGCAACTGCGTCGGTGGGTGCTAGTGCTGTCGGAATGATTGGATTCACATGCAGGATGACTCCACTCCGCCGCAGGCTTAATATGGCGTTATTTTGGCATCTGCATTTCCCCTCACAGCTTCTGCATAGGGCGTTTATGGTTTTGGGCCGATTGTGCTATGTCTGCCCCCACGTGCCTGTGTCTGCCCCCACGTGCCTGTGTCTGCCCCCACGTGCCTGTGTCTGCCCCCACGTGCCTGTGTCTGCCCCCACGTGCCTGTGTCTGCCCTCACGTGCCTGTGTCTGCCCCCACGTGCCTGTGTCTGCCCCCACGTGCCTGTGTCTGCCCCCACGTGCCTGTGTCTGCCCCCACGTGCCTGTGTCTGCCCCCACGTGCCTGTGTCTGCCCCCACGTGCCTGTGTCTGCCCCCACGTGCCTGTGTCTGCCCCCACGTGCCTGTGTCTGCCCCCACGTGCCTGTGTCTGCCCCCACGTGCCTGTGTCTGCCCCCACGTGCCTGTGTCTGCCCCCACGTGCCTGTATCTGCCCCCACGTGCCTGTATCTGCCCCCACGTGCCTGTATCTGCCCCCACGTGCCTGTGTCTCCCTCCTGCATGCCTGACTGCAGACTCATGCACGGTACGCAACTGCGGCCGCAATTCGAGGTGCCTGAAGAGCCAGGGAGGCTGGGCCAACTGCGTGTGTGAAAGGGGCCTCAAGCTGCTGCCCAACGCGTCCTGCACGCGTGAGTGCCTTCACCCACCCTTCATCTTCACCCACCCTTGCTTCTCCCCATAACACTGCTGCCCAATGCATCCTGCTGCACGCGTGAGTGCCATCATTTGTTTTGAGACGTCTCAAAACAAATTCTCCTTTTATCACCAACTGCATGTGTGAAAGAGGCCTCAAGCTGCTGCCCTATGCGCCCTGCTTCCCTTCCTCGAAAGGATATTTGCTCGATCAGAAGTCTTACCAACTGCGCGTCCTGTCATGTCATACACGTTCCCACCGGCCATATGTGCCTTCTCTCGTTCTGTGCGTGTGTGTGTGTGTGAACCCAACCCAACAGACTCGTGTGCGATAAGGGACTGTGGGGAGAACGGGTACTGCGAGAAGGAGCAGGATCTCGCCGTTTGCCACTGCAACTGGGGCTACGCCTTGACTGAGAATGGCTGTGTTGGTCAGTGCTGTGTGGTGCTGTGCTGTGCTGTGCTGTGCGGTGCTGTGCTGTGCTGTGCTGTGCGGTGCTGTGCTGTGCTGTGCTGTGCTGTGCTGTGCGGTGCTGTGCTGTGCTGTGCTGTGCTCAATGCGATGCGATGCGTGGCAACTGTGTTTCTGTGATCTGTGTGTGTTTGAGTCGACTTATTCAAACCACTGCAACTTGGGCTATGTCATGACCAAAAGCGGCTGTGTTGGTCAGTGCTGTGCTGCCATGCGTGACAAAGTCGATATGCTCTATTTGTTGCAGAATGGCGGCATGATGTGGAGTGGACAGGTAAGGCTGTCGTGTGCTGCCATCATTGAGTGATGTACCAATGTTATGCACTTTCCAATATCATTCGTTTGTTTTTTTTTTTTTTTTTTTAATTCATTTATTTCCTAACACTTCGCGTTTATTGTCGTCCATGCGACTCCTCCCTCCCCTGGCAGACACGTGCATACTGCAGGCATGTGGTGAGAACGGCCGCTGTGTGAAGGATGCAGCAGGGATGGCGTCGTGTGTGTGTGACATTGGCTTCACGCTGCAAGATGACGGCAGGACGTGCATGGGTAAGGATGATGTGCCTTGCTGTGCCGCGCTGTGCCTTGCTGTGTGTTGTTTTGAGATGTCTCAAAACACGTGCATGAGTAACGACACTGTGCCTCGCTGTGTGTTGATGTGTGCTCTTGCATCTTCCTGTGTGTTGCTGCTGTGCGTTCCGTGTCCTTTGTATGTGAACTTCCTCTCTCCCTCTTCTCCGTTCCCTCTATCTTTTCCTCTCCCTCTACCTCTTCCTCTCCCGCGCGTGCTCTTCCTTGTGCTCGTCCTCTCTTGTACGCTCTCTCTACCCCTGTTCTCTCTGCCCCTGTTCTCTCTGCCCCTGTTCTCTCTGCCCCTATTCT